AATTTCAGTGTTGCCTGTGGCTCTGAAATACAGCACATCAAAACAACCTGTAAGTTTCATTTCCGATACCCTTGAACCTGCTGACTGGCCATGATGTCCACTAGCTGACACTTTGAAGAGTATACCTCATCTCAGTCGTTTCTGCTGCCGCCATTCTGAGTGGTCCTGTGAAGAGATGACCGATGACACATTTACAAAAATGGCTGCTATGAACACACGTAACCAATCTATACAAGAAACTAAGACATAGTAATTCTAAAGAAGGGATATTCTTTAAATGCAACAATTAGGTATTTCTTTCAAATTTAATATAATCTATTGTGACCATTTCAATGTACTGTAATTGACTTCCGAGTCATTGGAGAAGCGCACCAGTGAGTATCACCCTGGTTCCAGTCGCCTGCTTTCCACAGAAGAAGGTGCCGGTGCTGGTGTGCGATGCTGAGTTTGTGTTGTGCCCATCTGGCAGGGCAGGGTTTAGCCCTAATCCCAGAGCCCCTCAGCAGGGGAGCCCCAGTCTGTTGATCACTGCCCCCCTGCTGGCTTGTCCACACTCATGACCTCCTCAGCGCAAAAACACACAGACCCCCCGTCACAAGAAAACAAGCCTGCACACCACATCAGCACATAAACTGCAGGGCACTATATGCGAGATTAGTTTATGAGACCTTCATAGTCCACAAACACGTCTCTCATCTTTCTAGGCATGCGTCAATATTGGGTGAAGAGTTTGGATGTCCAGTAGAGACATACAGGCGTCGGCAACAGCTCCAGTACACAAATATAAACAAACACTGTGAAAGACAAGAAGGAGATGTGACCCCAACCAACAGGATAACACAGAGACACGTATCCACGCACATGCAGAGGGCACAGAGACTTGTTTTTGTGAGGCAATGTAGAATAACACATTTATCACACACACAAGTAGAGGCCGAGTAAATATACACACACATAATTACAAAAACACAGACAGATAGGCAAACACAGAAAGACACCCAGAAGCAGTCACCCAGCCATACACACCACACACCTAACCACTGATAATCCCCTAGACACAGGAACACACTCACATGCACACATACAGAGCATCATTATGTTTATCACTGTGAACCAGCCCACCGACACCCATCACTCTAATTCCATTTGTCTGTTTAGATTCGTTTTGCTTTAATCCTCCCTTGTTTGTGCACATCTGCAAGCACTGCAACAGTACAGACACAGCGAGACCGGGAACGAGAGGGAGAGAGACAGACAGGAAGAGACACAGAGACAGAGAGAGAGGGAGCTCACAGGGAGCACTCTCCCTCCTGACATACTGGTCCCTGTAGCTCCGGCAGAAGGGGGGGGAGACAGGCGTATCTCCTTACCCAGGGAGAAGCGCCCTGTCCCAGCCACGGAGCCGCCGCCAGGCCCGCAGGCCCCTGTAATCACTGCAAACAGTCAAACATCCAGTCACACAGGCTCTTACACCAACACAACATTACAGGCTTTTTACACAGTATTACACCACATCTTATTATCCCATTCAAGTCGCTCCATTAGCTCAATTGGATGGTGGGATTTTCATTTGTAAATTGGGGGATTTTAGATTAGCTTGTCTGTCAGCGATGGAATGCCCCCTGAGACTGTGAATTATGTGACCAATCACATATAAATCAATGCTTACGCATACTGCAGCGCATGAATGGATGGTGTCAGCCAGAGAAAATGAACAACCTTAACCTAGATTATGTACTGTATGTCTACTACATCACAGATCTTATCGATGCAAGCATCACGGCTGTATTGCTGCCTGGTCACAGATTAGACACACCATAGTCCTCAACTGAAAACGCTAAATAGAGGCATATAATTTACCCTTAATGTATCAACAAAACGTGAATGACAACATTTTTGTATAGCTGACAATGGGCAGTGTTAGCTTTTATACGGCAAATAATATTCAGGTCTAATAGAGAATTATTAAAGAGATAGATATTAGCTGCAATATACACCTAGCAGCAACATTATGCAGAACTGAATCCGGTTGGTTGAAAGGAGGCGAATGAATTACCCCTCTTCCTCCCGAGGCCTTCCATTCAGACACGGAGTGAGAGGGAGAGCGAGGAGAGAGAGACAGGGGAAAAAAGGCACCCCGAGCTAGTCGAGAGACCCGGCAAATTATGAAAATGCCTCTCTGTGTCCTAAATGGAGGCCGAGCTCTTTAATGTGGCACAAAATTAGAACCTGGGGGAGGAAGTGTGGCCCGCTTGATTGGCGAAACCCCTCCTGGCCCACTACCCTGCTTCCCTCCCCCCCCCCTCTCAAAGCACACACGAGATATTATCCTGTGGCTGGTGGCACTCTCTTGTATTGGGGAAACTGAAGGACCCCAGAGAGAGCCCAGGGGCGTCCATAAAGGTGCCTAATTTGTCAGTTTACTCCTCAATTATTTAAATAGATCTAAGAAGGGAGCGGAGAATGGGGCTTTTTCTGCCTCTTCGCAGTCAAAGGCAGAGAGAGACCTTTCTTCACGGTAGCCATTTTCAATTGCGCTCTGCACTGCTGTATTTGATATACAGAAGTGCTGTAGTGGAGAGGGGCTGTATCAAATAAACAAATGTGTGTACACAAGATAACAACGGGAACTTGGGGATAATATTCAGTTTGCTCTGAAGAACTCAAAGTTATTTCACATTTACAGATTAAAACAAACTTTACCAACGTGTGCACACAAAGTACACAGACACACACATTTACACATCTATCGGTGAGGATTTAGGTGAGGTCTAGATATAAAGTGAGTCCCCTTTGTTACTCATCCCTCTGCTCTTCTATCCATCCACACTATCAGCTTTATAACCCCCCCCCCCCCCCCTCTCTCTCCCCTATCAGCATCCCCACATCCAGCAGGAGTACCAGCTCACACAGCCGGGCAATGCCAGCTCTCAGCCAGAGAGTCCACTGGAGGTATGTGGGGTCCTGGGGCCAGAGATTACCAAGCGGTTGAAGATTGATCCTGGAAAGGGAGATGTTGCATTCCCCAACCCTCTGACCTCTAATCCCTCACATATCTGCCTCTATTGTTTGGTTTGTTTTACTAGAGGGGTGAGGTTGTGTGGTCTGAGTAGGATGAGGATGCTATGAAGGTGGAGCGGGTCCACACAGGGTCCTAAAGTGACCTTATCTCTCACATGCGTCTGGTGGAGGCAGGTAGAGGACCCTCTCCATTTCTGAATGCTTTGCTTCAGACCCCTATTGAGATGAACTCACATCTGTGCAACAACAATCACTTTCAATAAGCTCTATATCAGCAGCGATGCCAGCACTGCAGTGGCAGTACAATAGTCTGGGTGCTCCGACACAAAGACGTGAGCACAAAGACAATAACAGAGTCCTTTAAAGACCGGAAAGAAACAACAAAAATACTTCGTCCATGTAGGCACAATAGACACATAACAACTCAAATACAGGGAACACAATGGAGAGCACTACAAACACCTGGACAAATAAACTCAGGAAACCTGCAAACATACTGTACCTGACATACAAACGGTGGCTACCACACACTGAGAAACACACACATCAAGAGTGATAGCAAACAAAAACCTGAGACAAGTCAATCATGACATGTCAACACAGACCGGCGTTAATAGGCCTAATTCTACCCAATACACATCCCTGAGTCCATAGGAAAATATTTAATGTAGCCAAAACAACAACTTTAAGTATGTCAAGTGACAGTTAAGGTTCCACTGTATTGAAAATCGACTGGTATCTAACACATTGCAGTTAACCAACTGACAAGAGTTTCGGATAAACCTGCAACTTAGTGCACTAGAATAACAACAATCCACGGCTAAAAATGTGTGTGGAGTTTGGTAGCAGGCACTGGCAACCTTCACAAAGATGGGTGGCACCTCGTAAACATCCTTGAAACAGGTTTCTCCTGCTTAGGAAAGGGATCTGCAGGCAAAGTTTTTCAGAGTGCAAGATTCTGCAAAATCTGTGGCCAGCTGAGTATATCATGCCTCTCACACCCTCTATTCTCTTCCCAAACACTAACCAACACACCCCAGCCCTCCGCCTTCCTCCACTCCAAGCCTCCATCCAGCCAGGGAGAGGAGAGGAGATAGGCCCAGTTGCTAAAGCTGTCTTTTCAGCCCCTGCTCCCGCTCGGTCTATCTGAGATACACAGCAAGCGGAGGTGTCGCTTTTCCGCTGGCATTTCGGACAGTATCTACTTATAGACGGGAGAAAAAGAGAAAAGAAAAACAGAAGGGGTATTATCAGGGAGGGATGAGAGCAGCAAAGGCATTTTGTCTTTTTATTCCCCTCCTAAGCCCTGGGCTTTGCTCCCAATCCGATTGGTCGATACGGCCAGGGATGTAAATGAAATGCAAAGAGGAATAAGGCTGGCTTCCCATCTCCAGTGTGTGCCCCCCTAAGTCCTCCGCCCCGCTTTCTCTGTCTCACTCTGTCTTGCTCTCTGGGCTGTTTATGGTGTTGTGTTTTCTGTCTCTCCATTCACAGACTTGCTGCACTCCCTGTTTCCGTCTCACCCTCCTCACTCTGCCTCGTCCTCCCCCCGCTCTCTTGCTCCTCTCTCGCTGCATCCCTCCCCTCTCGCTGGCTGGGCTCACAGCTCTTATCTCCTCAGACGCCCCACATTCCAGCGTTGCCGTGGCTCCCTGCCTGCATCCCTGGTCACGGCGATTCCATGGGTTCCCACAATCCTCGGCAGCTTGCTGATTTAGGGTGGGCAACTGACTCTCAGAGACAGGAGAGAGGAGAGGAACAGAGGGGTTAGGGAAAGACAGGGTGAGAGGGGATGAGAGGGTGGGAGACAAGAGAGGGATAAAACAGGCGAGGAGAGGAAGAAAGTAAAGTAAAAATAACAGGAGGGCAGGAGGCAAGAGACGGCAACGGTTTGGAATGTAAAAACAATATGAAAAATATAATCAATATTGATATACATTAGGCCTCGTCTACCGTGGAAAAAGTAGTCAAAAACGTAATAAAACAAACAGAATCTTTATTGAAATATTTGAATTTGTAGAAAAGCAGAGTGACAGATTTCCTTCTTTCTACGAGAAACCAAACCATCTGTGCTACAGCAGGTCGAATCTCATCATCCAGCCAGCTGACAGCCGCTAACCAGGCCTGCGAACAGAGAGGGAAGATTACATTCTGAGGAAACTACACATGTACTTTATACTGTCCTACGCCTTCTAGTGGTGTTTCAAACAGCCGGCTCCTCCAGCAGTGTTTTATGAACCTCATAGCAAAGGACTGGTTTCACCTCTGTGCAACACATTTCAAGGGCCAAAAGGTTCAGCACCAGCATTTACAAAAACAGTGTGGAACTGAGGGCTTGGACCCTGAACATTCCAAAGACATGTGACTCTGGTCCACTCGCTTTGTTACCGTGCTACATTGTTCCTCCAACAACCTTCACAGGGCTAACAGTCTCATGAGTTGGGGGGGGGCTGATGGGCTGATGGTCTTGCGTGTGTCCCTAGAGTTTGCATGATTTTGCGCTTGTATGATGATCAAAGTAATTTGCCTTTCAGTGTGCCGATCAGTTTATCGACTATGTTTATATGCAGTTCCGGCAGGGAAAAGGCTTGGGTGGAGATTTAAGCGTGTTCACACACACACACATCAACATGCAAACACAAATCAACACACAGAAATGCACCTCTAAAAGGGTCCCTGGCATTGTGACATTTCACATTTCATATAAATCCATGAGGGATTACACGTTAGGAAGCAAGAGAGGACAAAAAACACCCATCGAATCCATTAGTTTCTAAACATTTAAAGGACCATCTAAGATAGACTGATGTGAGGATAGAGGGGTGGGTGGGTGGGTAGGTAGTGCTGGTTATGCGGAGTGAGGTCTGTGTGGTACAGCACAAGTCTGTCCTAGATTAAACAGTCGCTCTAATCCCCCATTTCTGCCCCCAAATTGGTTTTCCCTCAATCTCGGCCTTGCCATCCTAATGTGAGAAAAAGAGAAGTAGAGCAGTGGCGGAAGGCAAAAATAATCAGCGCGTTAAAAGCTGTGAGAGCAGAAGAGGACAGAAAAAAAGAACGAGATATATAACGATAAAGCAATCGAATGGGTGATTTTAAGGGGAGCGTGCACAGTTTGATTGGGGTCAGTCGAGGCTTCCTGAAGTCAAGCTCTGTCCCTGGTCAACTGTAAACGTTGATCAAATGAAGCATTGCCGAGTGGTAGTTGTCTGTCCTTTGTGCAGAGTTCTGCTTGATATCTAAGTCCCAGTACGTCTGCATCACCATTCACTCCAACTCCCAACTCATAAGTCCAATTTGGCCAAAACTTGAACTAAACATCATTCCAGTCTTTTGGAGCACCACCTTCAAACCATGAGAAAAGGTACATTGGCTCAGACTTCGTCCCCAGTGCCTTGCACGTCAGCTGGGCTCGTGGCACACTCTGTGGGCCGGCTCTATGTCGGTCTCTCTGGGTCTTGTTATGGGGTTTGCCTCCAACTCTGGCGGAGCTCGTCCCTCTCTTTGAGCAGGTCGGTAATGGCAGAGCGTATGGCAGGTGTCTGGGGATCTGTGGGTTCCTTCTCCAAGTAGAGACTAAAGTGCTTGGTGCTGCAGGTCAGCAGGCTGTCTGGACTGTAGCCCCGGTGACCCGATCGTAGCAGCCTCTCGCAGGCCAGAGCCAAGTTCTTGTCCCAGTTTGGAGGGTAGTCTGAGTGGGCCTCCACAATCTCCTTATACAGCTGCCCAGCAAACACACAGACACACAGACAACAGATGTTACATCAAAAAACAAAAAAAAAGCCCCTGAATATTATATACTTTGCCTTGTGTGGCACTTAAATCTGCCCCGTTCTGGTAAAGGAGAGTGTTGTTGCGTGTTTGCTGAGGTCAGACTCACGGTGTAAGACAGCTCAAACAGGCGAGCTTTCCCCTCTCCCTGCATCCTTTCTGCCAGGTCAAACAGAAAGAAAGCCGTCTTCATCCTGAAACAAAGCACGCTGGGCTCAGGGCTAAGTGCTGGATGGATGAGCCATGCAGATCCACACTCACAGACGCACCACTCCAATAGAGTGATTTATGTAGATGCCGCCACCAAATAGAATGTACATGTAGATGCTCTACCGCACAAGACTGGTTTATGGAGATGCTCTAGCGGGCTAGTATGCATCGTGACGCAGCTTTTTATCTGCACACTAAAGTATACAAACTCTTTAAAGATGAAACCAATGTAAAAAAAAGTTGACTGTACCTGGCTTGCCACATCTCCTCATTAGCGACACACTCCCAGGACGCGGGATGGAAGCTGCTCACACGTGAAAGAAATATATTTTTTTATATGTAAACAGCTTCTGGCTTGTGCACAGTTCCACTAACTATAAATGATTATTTATGTGAATATATTGTTCCACTCGACTGTGCAGGTTTTGATACACTAAATATCAATCTTTGCTGCATAAACATTAAATGACTGAGCAACAATACCAGCGAGCAACATTAGACATGGAGTAAAACCACGTCTCCCTGTTTCACTTTGTTGACTGTAAACACTTGACCTCTTCTTCAAAAGAATATTTTAGCAGGGTTCCCGAGCTAATATTTGGCTTGTGGGCATCGGCGGACACGCTTGTCGTGAGGGTGCGGGAAATAATGTCACAGTATTCAGTCGTGGATATCTGAGTGAATGAAGGGCTGCTGGCAACAGCAGCAGAATATGGAGCTTTGACTAATTCCACTTTTGACACAGATATTGACAAAATGCAATGAGAAACTCATTATTTTTCATCTCCAGTCTCGTTTCAGAATGCTGAGGGGCTAATGTCTTGCTCTGGTTGAATTGACAAAGACCTGGATCACAGGCATGGAGAACAGAGGACAGCCTCACTGAGGCGAGCTCTGTGGAGTCTTTGGAAGGCCGATTGAGGAGACCACAGAGAGACGAGGGGGCAAGGAAGGAGGTGTTGGCGATGAAATACGCGGTGAGGACTCATTAGTTGGGGTTTATCATCTTTCTGAGGGAATATTTCTAGTTTCATTGAACAATCGTGAGTTATTTAAACAATATGCACGAGGATTCTTCTAGTTTTTCCTGGAAATGACATCCTCTTAAACCAACTGACTTGCTACTGGGCCAGTCTTTACGAACTCATACTGTGGAGCTAAACAGTGTTCAAACCTGCAGAAAGTCTAGACGAGATCCCAACGTTTTCAGAGATAAATATGTCAGGCTGAACTTTAGAGGTGTAGAAAATGATGCACAAGACGGAGAATATTTCCACTGGATGCTGCTGTAAAAAACATGGACTTTTGGGTTTGAATATTTCACTCAGTGTTATCATATAGCTTCAATGGAGAGGAGGAACAGGTTGATACAGGGTACATATATTAATGTCTAACAGTGTGGAATAGGATGATTTTTTTCAACCTTAAAGCTACTTAAGAGGCTTAAGAGAGTGAAAAAGAGAAAACTCAGATTAGGTGTTAAACCCTTACATGTGGGGAGATGTTAATGATTGTGTATATTCATGTATGCACCTGTTGTGTGGCTCACTCCAGTTGTAGATGGTGCGAGTTCGCTGGGCCCACCTCTCAGGGTGAAACTGCCTCTGAACTGGCACCAAGTAGTCACACACACCCAGGGGCCAACGAGAGAAGCTATGTTCCCAGCTTGGGTCTCCTTCAGGTAGCCCGATGCAGGCAAACACGTGTCTCCTGCAGAAAAACATCGGAAAGAGGTTTTCTCACTTCCTCTTTTATTATCCATGTAAACACCCCTCTTTCCCCAGGTCACTGAGGCCGAGACAGAGAAACACCATGTAGACAAACCTTTCCTCACATCACAACACGTTCTAGCTTCCCTCCAGTCACCAGAGACTCGGGCCTTGAGGGTTAATCCAACAGGTCAGTGTTGCCCCGCTGAGAGACTGGCATGTTGGCCTGGCAAACACTGCCCCCTGGTGGGCTTGGTATTAACAGGTCTCCAGACAGTTTCTGTGTCTAAATTCCTCTTGGAGTAGTGAGTGATGAGAGCAGGGAGCAGCAATGAGTCCACCAGAGACTGTTTTAACCAAATCAAGTAGATTAGTCGACTTCTGTAGTTCATCAAACTCCTTTTACGGCCTCAACAGTTCTACGGATTTATCTTCTCCTTGCACTCATCCCACTGATCTCTCCCTCATTAGATCACCCACTTGTTCATTTGGGCCATTGTTGCCCTCCCAATTCACTCTCTCTCCATTTTACACTCTTCTATTCATCTGTTCACCCTTTCATTGTCTCTCGGCTCTCTCCCGGTGACTCAGTGACTCACTGTGTGTTGTGGGACAGAAACTGCTCCAGGCTGAAGGTGTCTCTCTTCTCGGGGTGGACTGGGTCCCACCAGCGGCCAGGAAAGTGCACCCCAGGGTGGTGTTGCGCCAGCTTGGCCACATACCAAGCATATGTCATCATCTAGAGTGAAGAAAGAGTACCACCAACTCTGTTAAACTATTTGTATCCCTATGACTGGCAGGGTACAATTAATTTAAAGAAAAGGGCTTATTGACTATTTCAGTGGCTTTTACTCCACATTTGAAGTTATCAAAGGGTTTTTTTCTTACTTAAGTTAAGTTAAAGTTGGAGGCTCGTGTTTTCACGAAAGCCCTTTATGATTGCGACGCTGAAGAGATATACGAACGTACGATGTACTAACGACTACATACTAAAGCCTGCAAAAGACTTCCTGACGTGTGGCTGTAATTTATCGGATTTTGTATGAATTTTAAACAGTTATGATACAGCCGAGGTAAATTGCCATTCTGTCCAAAGATATAGTTTGCCACACAAATCTCCCTTTATTTTTGTTACGTACAGAAATCATCCTTATCTGAAGAAGTCTATCTTTCTTACTCGACAACCAAAAGAGACTGAAGCAATTTTGTCAAGAACCTTAAATTTCAACACAATGCAATAATGTTTAACTTCTGCTTGGCCTGTAAGTATTCCTGTTTCTTTCGCTACGTTTGCAATACTAACTGAACTACTAATTGAACTACTTGAGTTGATTTTTGGTTCTGAAATTGAACTATTCTTACTTTAGATTTGTATCAAATATCAAAACATCCATGAGAACATTTCCACAAAGACAGAAGACGAATCACAGGTCTGACCTCCTGGTCGACCAGACGTACATCGGGCCGCACACCCTGGCAGTAGTATAAGTAGCGCAGCGAGTTTCCAGGCAGATCTCCTCTCGTCAGGATGATTGAGTCTGTCGGGACGGAGGCCAGAAGCTCCCTGCCGAACCTCTCGACCACACTGTTTCTGCTCTGGTCGCACTCCCTTAGGATTATCAGCACATACACCATCATACTGTATAACATCATCAAAACACAAGTTGTGTTTACTTGAATTTAAAAAATCGTGTCGAGTGCATCCTTTACCCGTTTAGAAGTGTGTGATACGTGTACAGCTGTGTGTATGTGGGTGTTTGTAGGTACGCTTTCAAGGTGCTCTGAGGGTAAGTTGTCAGTGCCCCCGCCCCTTCCCCTCTGCACAGTGTTCTGGCTGCCTATCTAATCGTAGGGAGACAGGTGTGATGGGTCTGACAGCACAGGCCATGCTCTCCCCTTGATCAAAGCCGCTCAGTGATGGCTGTCTGGCACTCCCCAGCACTACGCTGGTGTAATCTGCCTTCTCGGACAGCTAACATCTCAGACTGAGCTCTGTGAGTGGAATCTATGTGCTAACCGTGCCTCTCTTTAGCCCCTACCATGGGGTGAGCAGAGAGAAACCTGACATGTGGAGTTCAGACCTGCGGTATGAAGCTCAGAGGAGAAACAAATCAGGTTGACTCAGGGGAAACTTATGCAAGGGGATTTCAGAAGGAACTAGAATGAGAAGGAGAGTTTTTATTTCACTTTAACTTTACTCATCAGAAGTAAAAGAAACTAAGGACACATTTGGCTCTAGTGTGGTTATTGCAACAAGGATACTGTAAAGTGAAACTGATTCCATAGATGCATGCACACAGATTGTACAGAATCTGACAGGACAACCAAACAAAACTCTACAACAAGAGCATCTTAACACACTAAAGTTATGTGTGAGCATGTTGTGTGTATTTGTTTGTGAAGTTCACTGTTGTGCTGTGATCACAACATTTCCTGTTGTACAAAACTGTCTCATGTCTTAGCCCTAAAAGAAAATGGTCTTTTAAGGGCAGTTGTTTGTTTGGCTCCATTTGATTAGAAATGAAACAACCCAAGAGCAAACAGTGTTGTGGGCCTGAGAGCTCAACGCACTGCAAATAGACACAACACAAGCGAATGAGGAAACATCTTCACCAACTTGACGACACACAAAAACATTAATTTGACACCAAAATGCGCAGCATTTAGAAAAAGCACTGCAAGAAACTCACAGACAACGGAAACTGTTTCCAGGGACACTAAAAAGTGATGCACATGGCTGAGACGTGTTGGCCTGTTGCTTATTATTAGACTGTCAATTCAAACAAAGTTATCTAACTAGTATCCCCCATTGGAGATTAGCTAATTGAAGGATCGCCAGCTAGGGTTACCTAATTGGTAACTGATAAACAAATTGTGCAAAGGGATATAACGTTATTAGTCATGTCAGCAAAACCTTCCGGTAATTTAACTTCCTTGTCCCTATTACAGGTTCTAGAACTATTAAATAGCCAGCTAACATAAGGTTAACCTGTTTTTTAATTAATTGTGTTTGTTTTGTCTTCTTATTTGACTGGGCAGTTGAATAATAAGCAACAGGCTAACAGGCTAGGCTAACCGCAGATCTGTAATCTGCAATAATATCTGAATCGGGGGATCACAGTGAGAAAATAAGCCAAAATAGATGTGTCGCAAGTTGGTGAAGACGTTTTCTGTTGTTCACACCCAACAGGAAGTTAGTTACTGCGACTGAGTGCCATGCTCACCTGTGATTGGTGTGCACCATATGTGCCAGCAGAGCCACGGTGAGGACCCAGCCTGTGGTCTTCCACAACCCCCCACAGCCCAGCCTCCTCTCCAGCTCAGAGTGTGTCCGGCTCAAGCCGAGGCCTGCCAGCACACACACTGCAGCATCACTCTGGAGCCAGAACCGCTCTACCTGCAGGAAGTGAGCGTGCATGTGAATACAGACAAACACATGCACCAGTGTTTCCTGCAGTGTTTGTGTAGTTGGTTTTCATTCTCAGTCCAGTCCTGGGTTTACTAATGGACCCAACCCAGGATCAATATCAATATATACTTCTGTTTCGGTGCTTGTATTTCTAGATGTGTGTACCGCCTACTGTACACAGCTCTCTCATATATTGAACATTGAATTGTAACTCAATGTATAAGCACTCATTTTAGACCACTTCTGGTAAATGAAAACAATAGAAACACCTCGACTTAGAAAGGATGTAAAACAGAGTTGAAGTCTTATAGCTCACCACTCCAAGCAGAAGGGGTCTGCTGATGTCCAGGTTGGCTCTCCAAGCAAAAAACAGTGAGTAGACCACCAGCATGGCAGCAAACAGCCAGGACACTGAGCGGAACGCCCTAAGATAAGATGGGGCACTAGTCTCATTTTCATTATCACTTCATGAATTTTGTTCTGTGTAGTCTTAGACTGCCATTTCCACATATCTAGCCTGACATACAGTATTATATTGTCTGTTTACTCCGTAAAAAAATATACTTGTTTTGAATAAGTCCATAAAAACATGAATGCAGGGATGGAGATCACAAGCCTGAGAGCAAATGTATACTCCAGCCCGCTAAGAGGTGCATGATTGATTTTCTAATGCAGACTGAGTCATAATGAGCTGGTGCCAACCCGCTGAATCACAAACTCATTACAGTACAGCTGTAAAATGTACTTACGCACTAAAAGAAAAACACACGGTCGCCTTGTGGCAATAACAAATCATCTGAACTGAAAGAGACACCTTCAAGTCAGAGAAAGTTACTTTTGGCTTTCCTTCCAACGAATTGATCTGATGGGTTCCACTGGCCACTAACGCATACCGACAAGATTGTGCTTTTATTTTACTCTTCACATTATGCGCGGTTAGTAACACACAAAAAAATCTTTTTGTAATAAAATGTTCTGATGTTCTTCCACACTCCATAGTTCAACATTAGGTAAATTAGCATTTGCATGGCTTCCTTTTGGCATCCTATGAAATGACCTTGCTCTTTTTCATGTGTGTGTGTGTGTGTGTGTGTGTGTGTGTGTGTGTGTGTGTGTGTGTGTGTGCAGCCAAGTTTATCAAAGTGCGCCCCAGGAGAGGGGGAAGCGGGGGGTGGCCGGTGCACTAGAGAGCCCAGGGCTTCGCTAGGCTTTATCAGCTCCACCCCACAGACCCCAGAAAAGGCGCTGCTGTAATGAATTACTGGATCACACTGCCACATACAGATAAATACAGGCAGCGATTTACTTGTACACACAAACATGTCTTTGAAAATCCAAAATAAACATCAACCTCTCTTGATTTGAATGTGGAGCGTTGCGACACCTTGACAGTTGGGTGCCTCAGTGGCTTTTTGTATTCTCCTTTTCTAAGATCAGCATTTTGTCAGTAGTTTTGTTCCCCGTCTTTTACTGCAGGGGATTAGATTTTGGTTGAAGTGGCTGCTGGGATGCGTCTGACAGAGTTTGGTGTTTTGTATGCCCGCGTCTCACTCATCCTACCTGTCCCACGAGGAGAGGAGGAGGCCTATTCCTGCCAGCACCAGGGCAGGAATTGAAAGGTCTTCCAGGCAGTGGTCCAACTGGGCCCTGCACACACACAAACGTATGACTTACAGTATATGACGGACACCAAAGACAAGCTCAATTACCCTCGCTGCTACTGAACTCAAGGACACTAATTATCAAATGCCCTCCATCCCCTGTCAAAACAAACTCCTTGGACTGTTTGCTCCTTCATCCAATCGGATTGACAGATAGGAATGATTGTGTCATCCCCCCCCCCGCTGCCCCATCCTCTCCTCACAGTGCCTGTCAGTCACAGAGCGCTTGCTCAGAGCAGAGAGATAGTTTCCTGCCTCTTCCTTAATACCCATCTCTATTTGACAGCTTATTGAGTCTCTATATCTCCCAATGTACACTATGTGTGAATGTGCTCACCAGCGTGTGTTTGTGGGTGTGTGTGTGTGTCAGCTTCTCCAGTGGGTTTACGTCTCCAGTGCGACATGCCTGTCATGTTCGCCTCTCTTCCCCATCTTGAAGGTGTGCTTGTCCATCAAGTAGCAGGGGTGATGGGAAGGGGTGGGTGCCTGGCAGAGAACGGGGGGGGCTGGTAGTGGGGGGTCTTAAGACGCACATGCACCCACATCCCGTCAGCTGGAAAAAGATACCAGGAGTGGGATGACTGCAGTGGTGGTGGAAGCAGGGAGCAGGGGAGGGAATCGGGTGGAGGAGGTGGAGGGGGTTGCTGGAGTGGAAAAATACAATTTCTCCAGCTCTATTGCAGTGTCTGTCATCACAGCTTGTCACGCTTAAACACCAGAGCTGAGTGATCATTTCAAACTGCTGGAGAAACAGAACACAGCGATTTGGCCCTCTAAGCAGGTTCAGTTCTGCTTTGATGGGAGAGAGTGGAATGGGAAGAACAAAAGCTGCTGGGGAGAAGAGAGGGGGAGAGAGAGATGGGCTGCAGAAATGATTCCGGGCTCTCAGAACAGATTGGAGTGGCTGTGGTAAAACACCAAAGCCAGCACAAAGAGCGGTTGGGTCCTCCGTCTATAGTTCCACGTGTGCCCTCACTGTGCAGCCCTTTGCTCCTAATACTTAGGATGGGTTAAATGCACAGGCTGAATTTATCTACACGATACTGTGTATGACTGTATGTGATGATGTAACAGTTGTTGTTTTTTATATCAAGTCCCTCTCGAGTTTACCAATTCAATTAAATTTAAAATATGTGATAAATAGTTGCGTTTAGTATTTACAATGTGTGTACCATTAAGGAAAAAAGGACAAAAAACTGAAAAAAGACCAAGCAGACTCACTTTATCATTGAGGTCAGGTTTACAGAGCTCTCCGTCTTTGCCTGCATACAAAAATAAAAAAAATAAAAAAAGAATACAATGAAAACAATTGGGATACACAGTGAAATGTGACAAGAGTACATGTACGAACTAATGGCACATAATCTATATAATCTATAGTGTGTTGGTTTTAGTTTTATTATAGCAGGGCAGGCTGCACGTACCAGACTGAAGGTGCCATACTCGGCCCTCAGCAGGTGAGTTAGCAGGCCTGACAGCGTGGTCTGATCCCCCCAGCTCCAGCGGGCTGTGTTGAGGTAGGAGGAGATGGGCAGGTAGACGTATGGCAGAAAGCCAGCTAAGAAACACGCTCCCAGAGACACGAGGCCACGCAAAGTCAGCTCCTGTTGATGTCGTTTGGAGAGAAATGTTTTCAATTTTCTTATATTCTCCAAAATGAAACTTAAAACTGACCAACATTCAAAAAAGCAGCATCCCAAGAAATTCAGATTTTCATTTTCCACCACTTCATATTTAGTATAGAGTATGGCAAGTGCCTACACTATAGATGGGATGGCAACAAGACGGGGAAAACTACGTCTTTAGGGTTCTTAAACACCCATTTAGACTCTGTTCGAAGTGAGCTTATATAAAAAGAACTTACCCTGAGAGAGTAAAGTCGGTGAAGCACCCAGGGAATGATGACCAGTACATACAGCACCAGGGTGTGCTGGTTACAGAGCCCCAAGCCACAGCATAGTGCCCCCCATTGTGCAATCTGACAAGGCATTTGAGTACAGCACTGTGAGTTTCAATTTGAAGTCATCTTAAGGAGGCATCTAAGGATCGATCAGAGGAAACTGAAAGACGGGTCCACAAAGTGGGTGGAAGATTTACCTTCCGCCTCTGAGTGGCGTTGTCAGCACAGTGGAAGCTGGCAGTCGAGAAGAAGAGCAGACCAACAAAAAGGTTGTTGAGGGTGAAGACCTCTGCCACCACGGACCACTGCCAGCTCAGCCTGGACACAGCGAAGAGCCCTCCAGCCAGCACGGCTCCGGGGCCGGGGCCCGCCAACCTGACAGAGAGAGAGGAGACGCCTTCATAATCATAAACAACTATAAACAACAAACTACATATATTTAATGCCACATAACTGATTCCAAGCAAACTGAGTGATCAGACAGCCCAATATTCAAATAGACCAATCCAAGCCTTACTTGTTCTTTGTCACATTTAAAGGCTACAGAACTTCAAGTGATTTCTTTTTTGTATTTTATTTGATCTAAGTCACACTTTTCTGACACAAAAGGCAAAACAACAAAGTCAGCAGCTTTATACAATTTTTTTTATTTTTGCCGTAACAAAAGCCACCGCTTCCCCCAGACTAATGTGGGGACCCATTATAATCTTCCCTTGACTCAAGTTTGCTTCTCGGACAAGACCTTGAAAAACAGCCAGTGAATTGGGCCATTCACATATCATGAGAACTCCCTCCCCAGCAGCTGATCTCGAGCAGACTGGCGCAGAAACCACCGTGGTAGAGATAGTACTTTATCCTCAGCTTCTTAAATATAATGTGTGCACAAAAGTTTCCCCTTCCTCCTCTCCTGTACTGTCTCCATCTCCTTTGCGGTAATTGAAGCAAACTTGGGATAATCTGTCATACGCTAAGACCCACCACTTACTAAAATGAAAGAGAGAGAGAGGGGGAGAGAGAGAGAGAGGCGACAAATGATGGCGAGAAGGGAAAGAAAAGAGAAATAGTGCAGAGAAGTGTGCGTTAAAGGGGTGAGACAGTGTGCGGGATAAAGGATGAAATATAGAAAAGGGAAGAAAAAAGTTCAAGAAGAGAGAGAGGGGGAAAAAGAGAAAGGAGGAAAAAAAAAAAAAAAAAAAAGCAGCCCAGTCCCCGGCATGCTGGCTCTGAAATATGAGCAGGCTCGACAATTAGGGAAGTCAGGCAGTATGGCCCTTTCCGCCATTGTGTGGAGTGGCTTAGAGTCCTCATCAGCCTATCAGCTAACTGACAGGCAGAGAGCTGCTCTATTCAGCACCGCAGATACAAGCTGCAGGCCAAACGGCTGCCAGGTCCCTTATGACCCCACAATCCCTTGCCGGTGACAGCTTCAAGCTCCATAGCAAATTAGGCGCTCTCACATTACAATCGCAGAAGACAGATTCCATTAACGGTATCTGAAATTGAGTAGAGAGCAGGCCCGTTATCAGACCTGACTCATAAGCACCGCCATTAATCACAAGGCATGATACCATTTATACATTTCCAGCTCTCTGCCTGCCGCTGTGATAGTCAGCCACAAAAGGCCTGATGAGACTTAGGCTAGGGGAACAATGGAGCTTTCTGAGGAAAGCGCGGTAAATCAGGAAAAAAAGGAGAGGGAGAGCGAGAGCAGGGTAGAAAAAAAAAAAAACTCTTGCTTGCTGACTACTTCCCCTTTTTTCTTGGGTTTTCTCTCTCCTTCCCTCCGCTATTTTTCCCTCTGTGTTCACTGTAAGGCGAGCTTGGTGAATGAATATGTATATATGTGTGTGTGTGTGTGTGTGTGTGTGTGTGTGCGTGTGTGTGTGTGTGTGTGTGCACTTAAAGCGGGGGTGGACTGTGTTGATTGGGCGTCTAGGAGTGGGTCTTAATAAGAGATAGCAGCGTCTTTCTCACTGCACCGCTCCAGGAATTAGTTGGAACTTGAAGGAAGGATGAAGAGGGATGGGGCCTTTTGTTGAGGTGCAGAGACCCCCCGCACCCATAATTTTACCTCCCTGCATGATAATTAACCCATAGCTCCCTTACACCTAGCAGGGGGGCTGATTTTGGGGCAGCACTGGGTGCACAAAAGTCGCGGGGATCCGTGAACGAGGTTATTACACCGAGCATGTCCCTGCCTCCGAAGCATCGTCTGACAGTCAGGAAGCACTCGTCACATCTTCAGAGACACACACACAAACATGCACACATACACATTCCTGTTCCTCAACTTCTTTATTCTCCCCAAGTGCCTGACAAATCTCTCTGTTAGAGCCTGTCAGTGTGTAAGAGCCCAGTGATGTCTGTAGAGCGCAGGCTGTAAATGACCTGTCTGTCTGCGCGGGACCACCTGGGTCCCAGTCAGCCTCTCCGCAGCTCATTCTGCAGGCTGCTCCCAGGGCGCGCAGATAAAGCAGGACACATTCTGACACCGGTGTGGCCGTGTTCCCCGTTATCACCACTCAATGCGGTGCAGGATGCTGCTGTGCTGAAATGTTGTGGCTCAGTGACAATGGCCTGGTTGAGACGTGGCAGAAGAATAACATGGCTGACAACGAGACCATTCTAGCCTGAACTGATCCGCCCTGCCAAAAAAATGTCTGTGTCATCACTTGGGTAATTAACCCAATGACAAATAGTTTGCATAAGGTCCGGAATGAAGCACAAACTTGGTAATAACGTGAGTTGTTAGAAAAGAAAGTTACAAATAATTACTTCTTTTTTTTTGGCTAAAAATCATACATAAGGAATGAAGATGGTGAAATAGAAAATGAAATAGAAAATATTTAATACAAAACTATTTCTGAAAACGGGTTCAAACAGAAAGATCAAAGGTAAATAGAAAGCTAATGAATGGCAATGATAAAATGGGCTCTGGTAAGCAATGCCCCCTTCAAGGACACAACAAAAGCTCAGCATAATCACTTTGAAGTGTCAAAATGGGACCTGCCTCATTCACCCCTCGGTTCTACAGTACGGGCCAGAGGCGTGCCAGCGCCAGTCGTCTGTGCTCAATAACAGCACACAAAAAGCCTACACCAGCACTCTGCACTATTGAGGCTTTCACAATGGAGCTGGCCAATGGAGGCACTGTCACACACTACCCTGGGGAACAGACAATACCACAGCTGTGCCATCGCGGATCAGCGCCGCACTGTTCGCTAACCGAGCGGTGGTTTGGGGGAAAAAGCGGCGCTGGAAAAGAATCACACATTCCTGAAGAGTGTAGAGAGCCCGAGAGAGGAGGTGGCCTGCTCGGGCTTGAGACAGAGGTTTCCAGCTGGCCCTCGCTGACACCCCGGGGCTCTCCTCTGGCAAGGACACCAGGCAGGGTACTTAGTAGCTATTATGTGACAGTAAGTGTCTGGTGCACTGCTTTGACATTTCAAAGCCAAGCAGCAATTGATATAGAAATTTAAGCTTTTAAATAATACTTTATGGATATGCGTCACAAAACCAAATACTGAATAAAATACCACAAAGTCGGTCAACGTATGGGTTAGGGCTGCGCAATAACGTCTTTCAGTGGAATTGTATCATTACAATATGATCATTTTGTGTTTTTATTTTTGCAGCCTGTGAAAACAGATGTCTGTTTTGGTGGCTTGACTTATGTCTGCCACTAAAAGTCAAAATATCTCAGCCTTTGTTGCTTCTTTATTCACATTCATCTCTGGAACTGCAATAATACATTACTGCAATGCCCCTTTAAGTTAATGATTTAAAGATTATTGTAATGAAAGACTAACAAAACTATATAATATTAATGCTTTGTGTGTGAAGAGCATATAGTGTAACAATTAATTGCCCTGACTAATATGTAGTTTTGCATAAATTTGCAATATCATGATACCCATTTAAAAAATGGTTTATTACCAATATAATGATCTTGATTTCAGCCATAAAAAAGCCATCGTTTTATAGATGTATTATGCTTCATTACATTATATTTTGTTATAGTTCTATCTGTGTGAAATACCCAATGAATGCTTCTACTTGTTTGTATCATGTTGTTTTCATTTTTCAAAATAATTTGGTTTGAAATCATCTTCCAAAAGAACCATCACCAAAATAATACATTATTATTACTGAGGTAAATATAATACATATAATATCCCTCTTTAGATATTGCCCGGCCCTAATTCTTGTTTATAACTGACTTTTAAAACAGTGTATTTGAATCTGTGATGCCACAGCCTAATTTTCAGCAAGTCACCAAAGCAGCCACTTCCCTGTCTGTCCTGCCTCATCCGCTGTGCGAAGAAGAGGCAGTCTGCTCGAACAGAGAGGAGGGGAAAGAAGGGTCCCGGCGCTCAGACACCCCTCCTCCAGGGGAGAGCTCTAGTGCTCCAAGTGCGTGTAAAATTAATCACCACAATTCTGCTCAAACAATGCAGCCACTGACATGACAATTTCTTCCAGAATGCCATCTTAATCTCTACCCAACACACAAAAAATTACAGGAAGAGGGAAAAAAAAACAATTTACAAGAACCCCGTGTTTATGCAATTCACTGAATGCCATTTTTATTGCTGCTTTTTCCAACAGAGTCATTAGGCACACACCAGTGATACATAAATGTTGCTGTATAGATTCCATTAACTAATTCTGGGTGAATTGTAATTGCCGAGTCTGATCCGTCTCCGTGCCTGGTGCCTTATTAAGACTGCCTGTGGTGGGTGAGGAATGTAATATTGACGTCCGAGGCAGACACAATCTCGAGCCCACGGGCGAAAGGAATATTAAACTGGTACTGTATTCTGCTGTCTATCTAGCCCTCCTCCCTCCTCCTCCTCTCCATCCCCATCCCATAACCAGTAATGAGGAAATAACATCTTCATTAGACATCTGTTTAACTGTATTAGAGGATGAGTCCTGGGGGAACCATTGGTCATGCTGAGGATAGGGGGGGAGTAAAGGAGGTCTGTTGGACTACAATATGACGGATGAGATACAGCAGAAATGGAACAAAAGGTTCACAGATTTGGGCCTTTTTAAATAGACAACAGTAAAATTGTCTTCTGCATTTTCAGGAGAAAATAGCAATGGGTGTATTCTCTATTGCCACTTGGGACAAAGATTTTACCACAAAGACCGTAGCAGATGTGAGAGGGAGGGGCGGCTTTGCCACCTGCAGGGAGAGGTGAGAACGTTACCCAACAAAAACTCAGCCGTTTCCAAGAACAAAACAAAACTGGGCAAATGGCTGCGAAACAACGCTCCCCACACGCATTGCTCCTGACGTGACCCCGACAAGTTACATGCAACCCCACCCCTGTGGAAAAACAACCCACCTGAGCGAGGAGGGACGGCGCCACCGGGACCATATGGTGAAGGTCCTTATAAGGAGCTGGGGATGGCACCACGCCCGCCCTCGGGTCCACTAAGGTATCAGCTGTGCCACATGAGCCAGCTCTTGGTGGGGGAGCCTCTCGCAGGTGTGCATTTTGTTTTCGAGAGCCGCCCAGGGAAAGGGGAGACCAGGCACATTTGGTGCGCTTCGACAGCCCCGTTATGTAATCACGTGATCAACCAGAAAGTGCTGATGACTGAGCGTCGCGAGGTTGTTTTGCAGCTCCCGAAGGCTGTCAGCACGCCAACGTGTCTGCTCCGGGTTTCTCAGGATAAGCTCTGGGAATGGAGAGAGATTCTTCTCAGGTAGCAGAGATTCAGAGCAGCTTTAGCAGATAAACTGTGAAACGAGAGAGCACCAAATACCGAGCTGTCTGGATTATCCCGCTACGAAGGGTGCATTCCTCCAGAGACTCATGGCTGAGGCCTTTTAGCATTCCACAGGCAAAAAACGTGTCTTTCTGTGAACCTCCGAGTGCAATCGATAGTAATTATCGTTACGTCCACCATCCTCAAAGGCTTGTCAGGCCATGGTGTGAAAACATAACAAGACATGCAATTTGGCCATCAAACCATATGATCAAGCCAAGAGAACTGTAATTGACAAATCAAAGGGAGGCTAAGTGCTACATTTAAACTTATGCAAGAGAGAGAAGTGGCTTCCAAGCCTATCAACTTACATTCCCCCACATTAAACACGGCAATCTGGCCGACTAATTTAAATTGATACATCAAAGGCTTGCCATGTTGGGTATGCTCCAGATGAATTTCAAGGTCTTACAATTTACTATTTGAGAGAACTGCCTTCAAGTACCCGTATTAACTTCAATACATTTTGCCATCTGAAAATAATCACACAAAGCGATGATTTGTTTGCGGGGGGGAAAGTCTACTTCTCAGCTGAGGCAAACCTAAAAATAAGAAGTAGTGAAAAAGTTTATAAGGGCCTCATAGGGACAAAAACAACAAAATATAGATCGGAACTTAATTATGTCGGGAAAAGACACAGCAAACTGGCGTCACTGCGAGGACGGAGAAGGTACGAACGGGTGTCAACTGGTCAGTTTTGGCATTTCATCTGAGGGACAGGCCAGAGGATCCCTGCAGGGATGTGGCATGGAATCTATGCCAGTCGTCTTGCTACGGTCAAAGCACCCAATGCCCTCTGTGCCAGAACCAGGAGGGAGGTCTTGACCATCCGGAAACCCCACTCTTTCACCCTCTTCATCTTTTGCCCTCTCCAGTAACCCCTCACCAGGCAGAGTCTGCCAGCTGATCCACAGCCACAAGCTCATCCCAAACTAGGCCCTGAGCAGATAATGACTAAAACCTTTTATGCTTATTTTTCAAATTGAAAGCTTAGATTATGCGTTCATACTTAAGAGCTTACACGGTGTGACTGTGTACTCTGGCTGAAGTCCTCACTACCCATCATCCCTTTTTTGAGTACTGGGTGGGGTTGGAGGTCCTCATAATGACTTTTTACTTGACCACAATCCAAAATTGGATCTCAATCCCCAGAGATTACAAACAGGGCTGCAGTTAACATGCACTCTGTGAGCCAAATATCACCCAGACTGCATGGATATTTTCTGGCCTCAAAAGAACTATCTGTAAATGTCTGGCCAAGAACAGAGTCCAATCCTCCAATTGACTGGTAACTCATCAAATGTATTAAGACTAGGGGGCAGTACAGAAAAGCCCAGAAGAAGCACTGTGTTCCTTCCCTTTCTTGCCGTCCTCTCTTCATTATTTTCCTGTACTATCTTCGGAAGAGTGGTTGAAGCTGGCAAGTGTTGATTCACCTCTGAGAAGCAGTAAGGCCCTCGTCTTACTGCTTCTCAGAGATGAGAAGACTGATGCAGTCTGGGCTTCGGGCCAGTCCCCTGGGGAGCCCTGCCCTACTGTAGCAAGGCTGACCCTGAACCCTGACCTACTCTGGACCATCTGCCCCCTAGCAAACACTGGCCAAGCACACAGGAAGTATAGGCCCAGTGCTGAGCTCCATTTTCACCTGCTTTCCCCCCCCCCACCACAACTGGGTCCTCACAGCCTGCCAAGATGTACAGCAGGACAAAATTACATCACATTCAACAATTCCTATTCTGGAAGAGTAAATTACAAGTATATGACATGCTTGGAAATGCCCCAGTATGCATAAACGGTGACAAAAAGGAAAAATGTTGACACTAAGCTGCCACCAACAATCCGATGTGTAAAATTACTAAGATCAGCAAAAGGGTGATGTAAGGTAGTCCAGCCAAACCATGGGAGATAAATACACACACACACAAAGAGGGAAGGGGTAAAATACTCCTTACATGACAGGGTCAGCAGCAGGAGAAGCTGCAGGGTGGTAGATAGATGGCAATGCAGAGACCGTAAACTGTGCTCATGACTGAGCAAGGGGAGGGATGGTTGAAGAGAGGAGAGAGGGAGGAGCAGAGTTAGTGATCCAGGAGGCACGAAGGGGGAGATAAGAAATCGTGCCATGTCAGGATTGGGAGCATGCTGGGCATTGGGAGGGGGGGGGAGGCAGAAGAACAGGGATGCCGGGGTGGGGGTTGGAGGGCACGATAATTGCGATATACATACACACACACGCACGCTCACAATGGGTGGCTGATGGGTAAACAGGCAGGGCAGGGTGGTGGGAGGGAGCAGTGCGGCTGGGCTCTGCTCCTGAATACTGAACAGAGGATCAGGGGCGACGCCGTCAGGACCCAAAAATACCACGCTCTGTTCCAGACAGCATCAAGATGCAGAACGCCAGTGAGGGAATGTTTGAAGACCCCCTCCACTCAAGAAATGTCTTCTTTTCATTGTAACGTCCCTTGGATGTTTGACTTTTTCTGTACAGATTTGATGCATGTGCAGAGTTTGTCGCAAGACACCTGCTGCCAGATTCCTCTGCTGAAGGGGTGAAAGCTTCTCTGTGATTTCCCCAAATCTAAATTTGAGACATACACACACAAGCTTGTGACATCACAGCTTGTGGAGATGCCAATTATGAGAGAGAGAGTCAGGACCACTTAAAATGGCCTGTCTGGGCAGTGTTTTTACTGACACACATTGCTTAAAAAAAAAGCAGAGGAATTACACAAATACGACAACAAACTGTGGAAAATGACATTGGAAATGTATATTTTATGTGCCTACCTGCAGACTGTAATGCAGAGGGTACCACAAGCTGCAGCCCCCAGCAGGCTACTCATCAGATTGACACTGTGGGCTGGAGAGAGTGAGGGCAGAAGACACATAGCCAGGCGAGCAAGTAGGGTAAAGACAGGGTATCCTGGAGGATGGGCCACCTGAGAACAAAACGACAAAGTATGAGATTTAAATCCCACGATTCAATGAGAGATACACTCACAGCAAGGTAATGCCTCACTCAAGATGTACCTGTGTGGATAACAGGCTAAGATGGCAAAAGTGCAGATGTACCTTATTCTGAAAAGATATGTGAGGAATGAAAAGAACTGGAGAAAAAGCAAGGATACGAAAGCCAGAATGACAACATAGGAGGTGAAGCAGTAAGGATGCGTTAACTTCTGCCCTCAGTAGATGCCAGTAGTGGTGTGCTGCAGAGCTGCAGTTATGGAAAAGCAAGACATCCCTTAAGGCCTGACAACAAACTGACTGCTATGACACCAGAGCCCTTCTCTCCCTCTCTTTCTACATCTTCTCACTTTGTTTTCTCTGGCCTTCTTCCCAAGGACAGTGCAGCTCCCTGGAGCCCGCGGTACAGCACGTGGTGCTCGCCAGCCCCAGCCCCCCCCAAACCACCTCCAAGCCGCAGTCATTCTCGCCTGGGGGATCTCGGCAATCACAGCAATTAGCCGCTAAGTCTCCTCCACCCAGATAAGGGCTCAGTCATTAAACACAGACTCATTCCCTGGCACTGATAACACAAGCCATGCAGGCAGGGAGAAGGGGGCAGCTCTTCAAATGAGAAAAAAAGAGCTGAAAGGTGAGAGTGCTACCGCCTCCCTGGTCACCTCAGACACAGCAAAAGGCTCCATGGCAGCATTCAAACATAGAAACAACTTCACCCAAATCAGAGGGATGGGCATGTAGGTCAGAAGAAGTCAGGGGGCAAAAGACAATAACTCGTGTACAGAATGAAAGAAAGAAAAAAGGATAGCAGACAGCTTGGTGAACTACGTGTTGGTGTCAGACAGGTAGGTAACATCAGCTAAGAGCATGTGGAGGAGCGACTGTGTGGCCAACAGGAATGGACAGACATGCAGCGAAAGCACAGCTGGGGGACAGAGGCCACGGGGAGCATGGGGAAGCAGAACTCTGGAGCTCTTGGGATCAGTGGGGGGGGGGGGGCAGCAGCCTGGGGCCCAGGGACGAACTGCGAGGCCCTGGGGAGGCCTGAAAGGCAGACAGGCAGGCCACACGGACTGCAGCACTAACGGCAGGATTACTGGCATAGTGACACCGACACAGCCTCCCTAAAAGGATCACAGCAGCGTAATAAACTTTATTAAATAATAAAACTTATTATAACTGTTAACCCGATTTAGTTCATTCTTCGCGGCTTACACACACACACAAAAAAGAGGGGTGGATATAATAAGCCTTATACCGTACATAAGGCAAAGCCTACAAAAGCCATCGCCTTACCATTGACTTTAATTGGATTTGAAAAACGGGTTGCAAATTATAGCATTCTCTACATGCAACTTAGTAAAATAAGTGTATAGAAAAGAAGGGGAAAACCTGTGGACTGAAGTAAATTAATCTGCTTTCTGCCCATGCTTAATTAAACTTCCTTAATGCGTATAAGAGTTAATGAGTGAATTGATTAAACAATACAGCTAATACTTACCCCCAGCTCACAAGCAGTGGTGATCAGCTCTCCTGTGGAAGAGAATAGGGGAGGAAATTAATGTAAACCCAATAATTATTATTAACAGACAAGTCTGCTCCCAAAGTTTTCCCAAATCAAATACTTGCACTGGGGTTTTGCATTAATTTGCCAGGATCAAAACCTACAAATCTTCCCAGTGTGACATTTCCTAAGCGGCACGCTCATTCTCTTCATCTCTCGCTTCTCCCCTGATGCCTCCCTCCCCGTCTCTCCAGCACATGCACACAGATATAAACACAGACACACACACACACACACACACACACACACACACACACCATTAGAGTCCCTCGCCAATGCTCTGTCACACAAAGACACACTTATGCTGATGTGAAAATAATGCTTCCAGTCCCATCCTCCCCATGCATCAGGGTCCTTTTCCTTCCTCTTTCTTCTGCTGCTCTACGTGCCTCTCTCTTGCTCCCACACTCCCAATGCCTCACTGTCTCCTTTAGTCCGTCGGGCACAAACAGAAAGGCAACGTTGGTGACAGTCACAGAATGAGGTAAGCTGTAAAAAATAAGAGCCGGTTGCACAATTTTTTGACAAGCTCTGTGTGAGGCGCGGCACAAAGTGAAAAGAAAACCCCTAAAAGCTATTTGAGGAAGCTTTAATGTATCTGGGCACAAACCCATTTGTGCCAGAATACACCCGGAGCGTTTCAAATTATACTGATTTCTCACCCAATGTTTGCATCTCCCACTCATGGAAATTGAAATTTGGTTCAGATTAAATGACATTGATAAATGTTTGGGTTCAAGACAGCTCCCTCTACTGGTACTAGATGGGTACTCATCATCTCCTCCATCCAGTACAGCCAATTAAGCAGTGGCCTTGTTTCCCACATCAGCACTGTTGGGATAGTCAGTCTATTACCAGCATACAAGCTGCAAATAAGATGCCTAGTAAATGAATACATAGTTACATTAAAAAAGTTAAAGTGTTTTTAATTAGATTTTAACCACAACATTACTTCTACAGAGTAGAAGTTCAAAACAAACATGTGAAGAGCAAAGACGTGTGCCCTGATGCAGCACCAACCCATATAGAACAGAACGGCTGAGTTTCAGACGGCATTGGCTGCATCACGTATTTTGCAACCTTGCCGATACAGTGAATTATTATGCCTAAATTTCTGCCACACGAGGAGCCCTAACTCTTATCACTCTAATGGACCATGAAGTCAGAGCTCCTGCACCTGCACAGCTTAAATGTTTTCTCAGCTCCGTTTCACCTGGCATGAGCCGCCAGCGAGCTACCCGCCATCATTTTACATCGCACTTTTCTCATCCCTCATCAGTTTCTCATTTCACTTATTTTCCCTCAGTAGTGGCACACTTTTACGCCATTCAACACAGGGAAAACTCAAACTAACACTGAGCCAAAACATCCATCTCGGTGCCACAGAGATGCAGTTCTGCAGCCCCAATACTCAAACGGGAAAATATTGACTCAACGAGGTAGCAGCATGGGTGCCAAGAGTCTTTGTGATAGTGGAGTATGGGCACCCACACCAGTCTTCCCATAATCCCCAACATTTCCACACTCCACATTCCTAGACAACAGCGTACCCGCGGGGCTGTGCTCAAGCCTCTCCAGGGCACATCACACCTAAAGAGATTAGGACACAGAGACGGAGACCTGGAGAATTCAGAAGGGTGTTCAGCTGGCACTATCAGAGCGGGCATCCTGCATGGTCCCTAAACACTGTGGAGAAGGGGCTGGCCGTTTTTTCAAAGGCCCCGTTTGCAAGGTGGCAGCACAACCAGCAGGGCTACTCCGCGCTCCAATTGCCTGCTCTCTCCTCGCTCATATCTGGCCGAGCTTTTCACACGCTTTCATTCTGCGAAATGAGCATTCCCCTCCACAGCGGCTTGTATGCCAGAGCAGCGCAAACCTAACACGCACAGCCTTCATGCCCTCGAGTCCACATTTACAAGTTTGTAACCTTGCTATCGCTTCTAAACACTGTTTGTAATTGTGCGAGGCAGTCCTTCATAAACTGCATTACAAGAATGTTGTAAAATGTGTTGGCCTACAACATAGGACGGTACTGAGTGAAATACATGTGGGACCACCGTTAAGGCTGGTTACAGAAGAGAGCAAATGAAATGTATGCACACACATATCAAATGTAAACAAACGGACCCACGTTGTTTATACATCAAGGGCTGTCTACAATACTTTGTCATTACAAATGGTGTCTATATTACTGGCATGGCCTTGTATTCAGTATTAAAAATAATGCTCTACTATTGTTTTCTCCTTGCGGCTTCTGAAGAAAGAAAAGCACAAGTTGTTTAAAGAATAGTTTTTGCAAATATGTAAAAGGGACAACATTTTGACTGTGAAAAACACATGTTTGGTTTCAGTGCGGGAGACTATTAGGTGTGGGTTAAATGGTCAACGTTAATATTGTGATAACTATCAAGGTATAAACTCACTGACATCAGAGCATGATTAAAACATTTTTAGATTTCAAAGAGACTCTTCTCAGAACCTTTCATTCAAAAGTAACACCGAATTCCTTCTCAAAGCATTATCTACATTTTAAGACCCTTTCAAAACTCATCTTTATGATTGAATATATAAACTCAGTTGCCCCACCGGGGCAGACAATTCATCAAGAATACACTTATTTTTCTTTGCCAGAAATGTTCGTGCAGCAGGAATTATCTCAAATGTATTTACTCTTCATTGAATTCTGCCTCCAACATTCATTCAATAGCATTTAGTAGATTGAGAAAACAATGCTGGTATTCTCTTGAATCTTATGTTATTAGCTAATGATGTTGAGAGTTTTCTAAGAATATGTCTCACGTTTCAATCATAACGCCAATCGTATGTGTATTTCAAAATAAATGTATTAGTGTGTTTATGTATGTTGTTTTGAATACAAGCCTTTTGATTCTCATATTGGCAAAAGTTTGGCTTTGTACCTGCAGCACCACGGACAGCACCCGTTTAGCTGCAGCAGCTATCGTTACAACAATGCGCCACGCGATTGGATGGCTGGCAACACAACAAAGCCACGTGACCAGAGGAGCATGAGCTAGCTGGCTAGCACCAACCTGAGTCTCCACCGGGGACCGTCCTCTGCACACAGGGCACATAGAGAGCGGCGACTAAAGCAGCCGTAGTGCCCGTCAGTATCCAGCTTGTCCTTGGCTCTGCAGACATGTTGAATAGCGGTAGTGTTCAAACAACTGCTAATGTCGACTATCTAGACGGCTTGATACCGTTAGCACATAGCGTTAGCATCATCGACTGTATGGTTAGCATCGATACATTTGGGGTGCTGGGGGCTGTAAAAACAACTGTCCGCTACCAGTAACTTGAACACCGACATTAGTCGAGAGCTGAAGTTACAGTAACACGATGCAAAGTAAAGACCTGACTTAACTTCACGGTTTTAAGTCTGGCGGCTTAACAGTTAACGTTAGCTAAAATGAAAGTCTTCTGTTCCCGTGAAGAAGCGGCTCAATTCACGCCAGCGACATAAACTCGCGATAGTACCTGACGCAGTCATAGAAGTAGTGATATTTTACAACATTATTCTGCACACTGTCTACACACGCTCTATGTAAACTGATCTGAAAACAACTAAAAGGATGAATACTGTTTATTTGTTCCATATTTGTGTTACTTTATTCAAATCTTTTTACATTGTACTTTCAGTTTTTTTCAAATAGGCCTATAATATGGATGTGAGCTAGATTATTAAATGTATCTACAGACAAATACTACATTTTGCCGACTGCTTTTTCTCAAGAATGAACTCTTAATCTAAACTTTTATGGAAGACAACAACTGTGATGCTGTCGACGAATCGGGTGAATGATGCTCAATGCAATACAAGGGGTTCGATAAAGGGGGCCAGCTTAAGAGTGTTGACATTCCAGGTAAACCCAAACTCAAACATAGATGCCTGTCTCACCCGATTTGGATTTGGCGATTTTGAGCCTTTAAAAAAAAAAAAGCTCCACGTCACAGTCACTGTAGCCCTCCGTAAACTCCTGGGAGCATAAGTATGATGGATGGATTTGTCTGAAATTGCTAATAGATGTTTTATTATTACCAGTCTTTTCTAAAAGGAAAGAAAAGGCATTTATTGTGTGGAACACTGCCAGCACAGAGACACTTTGATACTCCTTTAAAACTTTACATCACAACCTTCATTTAACACACTATCCTATGCTGTTACTTTACTGCAAATACACAATTAATTGTTGCAGGAAAGCGGTAGATTATAAGTGAAACAAGATACATGCACCCATAAATGTCTCACAAGTGTCCATATTTCACAGGTTGAAGGGTGACTGTAATAAAGAAATTGCCTTGTTGAACTGATAATAATCCCAGCCCAGCATAAATGAGTCTGATCCCTCAGTAAATTGAGCCCTTGGTGAGGTGGAGTGGTGTCAGCACCTAGCCAACTCTCAGATGGCTCTCTAATCCTCGCTTCCCTCTCACCACCACCCTCATCGTCTAATCAGTCTTGAACACACACACATAACGCTCACACCCATCTGACACACACACACACACAAACGCACCCGAGTACTCACCCTTCCTCACACTCGGGCTCAGCCATCTCTTCAGTGTGATGTCACTACTAATCCACGCTTGGTTATCCGCCGGGCTGCAGTGCTGCCAGAGGGATATGGGGAGGAGATGGAGTGAATTTGGGGAGGAGGTGGTGGAGGGGAGAGGGGGGGGCGTCATAAAGTTTTCTTGCTAAAACCACCGCTTCCATTAGTGCCCCCACCACAACCAAAGTCTTGCACCCAGCCAAACTGAATAGCATATGCACTGACAAAGGCTCAATAGAGTGTTAATATGAACACATATTACAGCTCTGATAGGAAAGATAAAACACAGCTGTGGCGCGAGTATATT